CAGCCTCTACTAAGCGCATGTACCTTTTGCAACATCCTAAAGCTCAACATCCTACATTCAACTCTCTCTCTCTCTCTCTCTCTCTCTCTCTCTCTCTCTCTCTCTCATCTTTTTGAGACAGAGTCTCTCTGTGCACTTCAGGCTGGCCTTGAGCTCACTTTGTAGCCCAGGCTGGTCTTGAACTCCCAATGTTCCTCCTGCTTCACCCTCCCCAAGTGCTGGGATTACAGGTGCTCCCACCACACCCAACTCTAATCTCTTAAACATGTCTCCACCCTTTCTCAAAAAGAGGCTGTATACCACGTGGTGGTTAAAACCTGAGGCCCTGTGGCCTGGCTCTGTCCTCCTTCACCTCACCTCCTGTCACTTGCTTTCTCAGCACTTATGCAGGAGTGAAGCACCCTCCCTTGGCCTGCCATCCTCTCTGCCTCCACAGGGAGGATGCTCCTCTGCTCTCACTGCCCTTCTATATCCTTCACTTTCTCCCATGATTACCCTGCACATTCCTCAGGCCAGTGCAGGGCCTCCCCGCTGTCAAGGCAGGGGCACTCCCACTGGACTACAGGCTTTCATCTCTGCACCTTACCATTCCGAGCAGTGCCTCACACGGAAGTGCTCAGTGAGTGACTTTTCACTAAATGCATGTTTAAATACTTCAATCCAGTTATCTTCACTTCCTGGCTTGTTGCCTTTCAAGAAGATGATTTAGAGGCCTGGTCACATCCTGTCAGCACAGAAGTAGGCAAAGCTTCAGTGACTCTGGAAATTCAGCCTAGGTGTGGTAGGGACAAATGTAGGGGCAGGACTCCAAACCACAGGAAAGCAGCTTCTAATGAAAAGCTGACAGAACACAAGTGAGTGTGGCTGCTTTTTTTTTTTTTTTTTTTTTTTTTTTTTTTTTTTTTTTGAGAGAGAGAGAGAGAGAGAGAGAGAGAGAGAGAGAGAGAGAGAGAGTGTGGTGTGTGTGTGTGGCCAGCTCAGCCCACCAGGGGGCGGGGCTGGCTGGCATGTGGTGCTGGGGGATTGAACCGCGGTCCCCTATGCTTTGCTAAGCTTGTTCTAAGTAGGTGCTTTAGACCACTGAGCCATCTCTCCAGCCCCGAGTGTGGCTGCTTTATGTCCACCTACAGGTGGCTCCAGATTCAGGACCGTTCAATTGGGAATTTTCAGCTTTAGGGTGTTGCAAAAGCTACACGCGCTCAGTAGGGGCTGCACACTGAATTCTGAAGCTAGCCCTCTCTGGCTGTGTGACACACTGCATCGTAATCTCTGGTGATGCTGGGGGTCACCCGTGGGACCTCAAGGGAGTAACCAGCCCCAGCCATCGGTGTGGCCGAGCCACGGTGGTGACGGCAAGCTGATCTCAGGACACCGTCGCCTCATGGTGGGCGTATCAGGATGGAAGCCCTGATGGGTGGAGCAGCAGCTGAGCGCTGTGCTTCCCTCCCTGATATCATGGGGGCGCACGCGGTCTTCAGCCTCGTTCTTGTCATTCGTGCTGTGCCCTATAAGGCTTCACAACCACTGAACGAGAAATTCTGAACTCTGGGTCCCACAGAAAACAGGTTCCTGTGAGCCGCTGCTTATGACGTGTGGGAGGCGTGTGCTGGAAACTTAGTCCAGGGCTGTGCAAATGGTGAGCGTGAGCTTCCCCGGGAGCTCTCTCCCGGCTCGGGTCACAGCATGTCGGCAGCTACAATACTGTCAGCAACATCTAGGCTCATCTGTCACCACCCTTGTAAAACACGCCAGTCTCATCAGCCCTGAGGATGTGATTTGTCCATAGCCTTCGTCCTGTATAACACTAGGTTGTCATAAATATTTAAAATTCTACCATATTCTCAGCTTTGCCTTTTCTTTTAATAACAGAATGAATTAGTTACAAAAAAAAAAAAAAAAGATTCAGTTACCTAGAGACATTGAGGTAAAAGAACACAAGCTACATTGGGAATCTAATCATAGTTGTGTCCTTTCATGGAGTACTGTTTTTTTTTTCAACACTTCTGCGGTAGCACCTGAGCTTTACTGTGCTTCCGCAGCAACAGTGAGGTGTCTGGCATGAGCAGCCGCTCACTGTACTGTGCGGCACATCTAAGAGAGAGACCTTCTCGCCTCCCGAGGCTGGTACCCTCGACTGCCACCTTTTCACTCCTGCAGCCCGCCTCTCCGGTGACCACCATCCTGCTACGCTTCTAGTGTGTTTTAGATTTCATCTAAAGTAGGAACTTGGCATAAGTAGGAACAAACCGCATTTTCTGTTTGGCTTATTTTTCCTGGCAGAATGTCCTTCAGTTCCGTCCATGCGGCTGCATATGACAAACATGGCTTTCATTGTTCAAGACTAAATGGCATTCCACTGTGCCTATGTGCCATATTTGCTTTTCCATTCATATGCTGATAGATTCTCGGCCTGTGTCCATTTCTTGGCTGCTGTGAATTGTGCTGCAGGGAGCAGGACAGTGGACTGCTCGAAGACCTCGGAAGTGGGACTGATGGATGATGTAGAAGCTCTATTTTTAATTTTTTGAGGGCCCTCCATACTGTTTACCATGGTGGCTATACTAATTTATATTCCTACCAACAGTGTGCAAAGGTTCCATTCAGAACCAAAGAAAAAAGAGAAAAAAAAAAAAAAAAAAGAAGAAGAAGGAAAACAAAGCCTGGCAAGGATAAAGTGGAGAACTGATAACTTTCATACATTGCCAGCAAGGCAAAATGGAAAGCAGTTGGGCAGTTCCTCTAAAAGTTAATCATAGAATTCATGGGCCGGAGAGATAGCTCAGTGGTCTGAGTGCCTGCATGGCAAGCGCAAGGACCTGGGTTCGATCCCCAGCAATGCATGCAGGGCCAGCCCAGGAACCCAGGCACGCTGTGCTGGCCCTGAAACCAGGCATGGTGGTGCGTGCCTATAATCCCAGTGCTGGGGAGGGTCACTATGAGTCCATGCTGCATAGTGAGACCCTGTACCAAGTAAGTAAATAAATAAATAGCCAAAAAAGAAAATTAAAAAATAATAAAAAAGAATTCCCATGTATTTCAGTTCAGTTCTGTTCTGTTCTATTCTGTTCTACTCTCTTCTATTTCTATTTCTATCACTATTTTATTCTATTTCTAGGCTACACCAAAAAGTACTGAAAATATGTATTCAAATAGAATTTGTACAATAGTCCTGGAAGAAATATTAATACTAGCCAAAAGTTGCAAACAACTTTAATGGATGAAAAAAAAAAAACCATCTTAAATACTGGACTATTATTTGGTTATAAAAGGTAATCAAGTACTTGATATATGCTATGATAGGAATGAATGTCTAAAGTATTATGCTGAATGAGAGAAGGCAGGTGCCAGGGCTTCGATTGTACAGTCCCATTTCCCTGACGTATCCGGAGCAGGTAAAGCCCCGGTGATGGGAAGTGGACTGTCGCGACAAGGCCTGGAGGGAAAATGGATAGGGACAGCCTGGTGGGTGTGGGGGTCCCTTCGGAAAAACGAAAGCTCTTGGAGCTAGAGGGGGGCGCACGATAGGGCGTGTGTATAAGTTTCACTGATTTTCATGTAGCTCATTTTTTGGAGAATTTCACTTCTATAAAAAGTCAGGATGGAGGAGTGAGGTGAGACTCAAAAGATGTGGACTTCACAAGTATGTGACAATGAGCACTACTGTGTTGTGTCAGGCACAGTGCAAGGAACAGAGCCAGAGGCAGGGTCAGAGTTATGATGTAAACACTGTGGTTATTAAATTTTTTTAAAAAAATTATTTATTTATTCATTTATTTGGTACAGGGTCTTACTGCAAAGCTCAGACTCAAAGAGATCCTCCTGCCTCAGCCTCCCCAGTGCTGGGATTACAGGCATGCGCCATAGCACTGTGCACCCAAAGTCCTGGGACTGGCAGGGCATGAGGTACCGGGGATTGAACCAGGCTCTTTGCACCTGCCAGGCAGATGATTAGACCACCGAGCTATCTCTCCAGCTGACCACGGTCATTCTAAATGGGTTTCAGTTTGGTGCGAAATATCACATATCATAGCATCCCTGCAGACAAAAGTCAGTGCGATGAATGTAACTGTATTCCATGTCCTTTTTAGTTCACTGTTGCACCAACGCATTGCACAGCGTTTTGAGTCCTGCAGGGAATACTGGTGCAGGTGAAGCATGCACAGCCCGCAGAAGCTCCCACCAAGGGCCAGTGAGAGAGCTCAGTGCACTAAGCACCTGCTTAGGCATGCGCAGGGACCAGGGTTCGATCCCTAGTGCTGCATGCCACGCCGGCCCCACCCTGGGCATGCTGAGCAGGCAACCAGGTCCAGGCGTGGTGGTGCAGGCCTGTAATCTCAGCACAGGGGAGGCTGAAAATAGGAGGATCACTACAAGTACAAGCTGCGTACTGAGATTCTGTACCAAATACATTTTAAAAAAAAGGCTCTCATCAAACAGTGGTTGCTATGGCAGGCAGCCCATCCTTCTTTCTGCATGAGGCCTGGACTAGGGCTGGCCACAAGCAGGATGGGCCACAGAGGACAAAGAGGGAGTTGTGGTCTTGGTGGCCTTTGTCACTGTGAAGTATCTGTCTCCCACTGTGACTGTCTGCATCTGCAATGCTCCTCCAAAGCCTCATACTGCTGCTGTCAGAAAATGTAAATCCCTTAAAAGGTGCAGCCAGTGCCAGGACTTAGGTCAGTGTAGACATGCCCAGGGGGCCTGCGGGGCCCTGTCTTTCTCTCTCCCTGGCTGCCATGAAGGAAACGGGCCTCTTCTGCCATGTCCCGTGGTCATGCCATGAAACTTCCAAAGTTATGAGCCAAATAAACTTTTCCTGTCAGTGAGTTGCTTTACCTCAGCCATTTGTCACGGCATTGGAAAGCGAGCTACCACATAGAAGCTCATGTGGCGTGGGGCTCCACCAGTGCAACAGACTCCAGCTCAGGACAGAGCCTGCAAACAGCAGGGGACTGCAGAGGGACACAGGGCCACCGTGTCGCCGGCCCGTGGCGCCTTACCTGCACTGCATCCCCGCATGCTCTCTCCAAACACATCTTCTCCCAGACCTGCACCTGCTTTGCTCGTGTCTTTCTCTGCATCTTCTCCAGCTGCAGGTCATCCATACTGACCCTCCTGGGCTGTGAAGGGGCCTCTCTGGGGACATCCTCTGCAGAGACGAAGGGGAAGGCCTGTGTCACCCTCTCAGGGGTGGAAGGTGGCTTCCGAGCTGGATCTGGGTGAAAATCTTTCTTACCATGGGAGCAACTGGGCTTCTCACCTGGCGGTTCCTCCCAGGGCACCTGGTCCTGGAGGGCAGAGGAAACGTGTGCGGTCAGAACCAGGGCACGGGAATGGGGCACACTGCTCTCTGCTGGTCAGCATTAGATACAACACTGTTTCATTAATTTACAAGTACATATGGAAAGCAAAGCTTCATTTACAGTGACTTTGGAAGATGTGAAGATTAGGAGCAAAAGTGATTTGCTTCTGTTACATATCTTATTTCAGTGTTCTTTTAAACAGAGTCTACTCTGAGCAAAGCCTTATGTCTTAAAAGGAATGACTGGATTTGGCATTCTCAGTATTTTAGCCACTTGCCAGCCTAATTATTTAAATACAGGATGACCAAAAATTGCATATTTTTCATTATCTTTTATATAACAGTAAATGTAAAAATGACAATTTTATCAAATTTATTTAATCAAGAATCTGTTGAAGGCCAGCAAGATAGCTCAGCAGACTAAGTGCCTGCCTAGGCAAGCACAGGGACCAGGGATTGATCCCCAACACCACATGCTGTACCGGCCCCACTCCCAGGCACACTGAGCTGGCCACCAAGACCGGGCATGGTGGCGCATTCCTGTAATCCCAGCACTGGGGAGGCTGAAAATAGGATCACTATGAGTCCAAGCTATGTAGTGAGACCCTGTACCAAATACATTTTTAAAAAAAAAAATCTGTTGAAATGACATCTGCCTGAGTGGCACTCGGGACAGTATTTAAATGTGCTGCCTGAGTGATTCTCAGAGTAAATGGTTAACTAGTTAAAGGCCAACAGTAACTGTGGACAAAGCTGTTACCCTTTCAGAACAGAATTTAAGCTGGATCACACTACTTAGTCTTCATTTGACCAAGTGTGCACACAGCCACCTTGCCAAGTGCAGACACTACCCTAGTTTGGGGTTGTGCATTCAGGGACCTTTTCCATTTCAAAATAAAATGTGTTCAGGCTGGCCCAATAGTCAGACTTTGTGTTGACAATTCCACCACCTCTGTTCCCAGGGCACTGGGAGAAGAGACCTTTCTTCTCCCATGTTGTTAGGGTTTGTGTCTAGATGTTTCCCAAAACCTCATGAGCTCTTGGGGAGGGTTTCTAGAGGTTGCGGTTAATTCACGATCCAATGCTGGGCTTATGGGTGTGCGCGCTACCCCCGCCCTCTGGTGGACAGCCTGAATGCTCCGTGGGGAGGAAAAGGCTGGCTCTCTGCGGCAGCTCAACCCTTTTGGCTCTTGCTGCTTTCCGCCACCATGGCCTGCTGCCCTCAGCCATGTGCCACTCTGCCTTGGAGCCAGCTGATTTATGGACTGAAACCCCTGTGAACTGTGAGCTAAATAAACCTTTCCTTCCTTAATTTGGGGCATTGGGTACTTTGTCTGAGCAACAAGAGAAAAGTAACCGAGGCGCATGCGTTGCTCAGGGCTATCCTCCTTCACCGGGAAACTCATTTTTCTTTTTTTTTTTCTTCAGAACCGGGGATTGAACTCAGGCCCTTGTGCTTGCCAGGGAAGCACATATTCTACTGAGCCATGTCCCCGGCCCCTCAGGAAACTCATTTTTCATAGGAACGCCCTCCACGAATGCTCCTAAGCCCTCCATGCATACTGTTTAGGGTAAACTAAGGTGCGATTTCTTTTAAACACTTGCAGAGTCTTTCTAGAAAAAAAGACAGATGAGGCTAAAGATAGATGTATGTATATGCAGAAAAAAAGAAGGGAGGAAGATGAGAGACAGGATGAACAGGAGCGGATGGATAACTGTTACATAATGGTTTTTGGATACATCTGGGGGATAGGGACCTTTCCAAGCTCTCTCGGCACCTGAAACACACAGCCCAGGTGGAAAAAACACTGCTCTGATGTTTCTGCTACACCCCTACACACCGCTTTGCTTTTTTTTTTTTTTTTTGGAACCAAGGATTGAACTCAGGACCTTGCACTTGCCAGGGAAGCGCTTACTCCACTGAGCCATCTCCTCGGCCCCTTTGCATTTCTAAAGCACCGGCTCCTGGCTCTCTCTAACTCCCCTGTGGGCTCCAGATAGCTGGTAACAGAAACTGCGAGCTATGTGACGTGTCAGAGGGCACACAGCTCCAGGGGTCATTAGTCTTCTGACTCTGGAGTCTAGGTACGTTTTCTGGTCTACCTGATACCCATTCCTGTGTGCTATAGGATATCCACATCCCCACAACTAGACATGCGCAGAGGTCAGCCTTCTATAATCCCCAAGATTCCCCAATAGGAATGATTACCAATTGGGCACGTCTTTATGAATAGCTCCCTCTTGTGAATTTAAGTACACTTGAGAAGAAACTTGGGTCTTCCTAAGGCCATTCTGGGAATAAGGGGCATAAAGCCACCTGCGCAGGCCAGTGTCCCTCACTCTGAGGCAGCCGCAGAGTTGGGTTCACCATCACCACAGGTGAGCTTGCTTCTTTGCAAACTCGAAGAAAACTTCCGGCTTAGACTTTCCCAAGGCGCTGCCCTCTAACCCTGCCTGCCGCACCGAGTCTGGGGCAGAGCTCCTTGCCTTCTGCGTTAGCCCCTCAGAACCTGACCACACTCGCACCTTAGTTTATGGGCCTTCAGAGAGAAGGCTGGCTAGAGATGTGGGAGGCTGGCTGTAAAACTTTGCCTTCCTTTTTTTCCAGAAGCTTAATGGAAAGAGTTAATTGATCTCTTGTCCCTTCCCCATCCTGACAGGCTGTAATGGGGAACTGCTTTGACCTCTGAGGAGATAAAACTTTGTTCTGAGGCCATTAATTACAGCAGTGGTTTTCAAAGTGTGGCTCTCAGACCAGGAGCATTGTGCAAAGTGTTGGGAACTCCCTGAGACGCTCCCTTGGCGTCACCTCCTGGTAGGCCCGATCCCTCCTCCTCTGTGTGCACTGAGTGTAATGACTTCTTCCTAACAAGTAAAGTGCAGATAAATTAATGAGATGTCACATGATTAGGATCCAGGAAGGCAGTAGCATCTATCTGGGTGGCCTTTGATGGTCTCTTCCTCTGGAGGAAGCCATCTGACATACTATGAGCAGTAGATTCACGCAGTGAGGGGCTGCTGTCTCCAGTCGACGGCCAGTAGGGACAGCCAGCAGGAACTCGAGCTGGCCGACATGCAGCACAGGTGTGATCCCCGAAGCAGGACTTGGCCATTCAAGCGCTGACAGGACAGCAACCTCATCAAAGCCCAGGCGCACAGATGCCAGGCAGAGCCCAAAGAGCAGCGACAGGCAACGTGCACTCCCAGGAACTGGTGAGAAATGCAAAATTTTGAGTCCTGCCAAGACATACTATAGTCTACTTAAAATGCCTCCGGGTGTTCCAAGGCACAGCAGATGAGAATAAGTGAGGCAGCGCTGGTGGCTGTGGGGTCCTCATGTCTGGATGTCCTCGTGTCCCAGAAGAGCAAGCAATCAGAACACAGAATTTGGTTGGGACAAGATGAATGGAAGGGTCAGCAGTTAAGTACCTTCTGCTCATTTCTGAATGAGCAGAAATTAAGAAATAGTAAGGGGCAAAATTAAGAAATAATAGGACATTAGAGAAGCATAAATTTCAACAAAATCTGAAGTAAAGCAAGTTGATCTAAGAGAGGCCAGTGTTGATGTAGAGTACAGGAAATAAAGGACACAGACTTGAGCCCTGGAGGACAGAAATGGGCCCCAGGAGCATGCGTGGTCTTGTGATGCTCTCCCGTGGAAGTCAGCTCCCAGGCTATGTCCCCATGTCCAGTCAGCCACATGATGGTGCCCTCTGCCTGTCTTCCCTCCACTCCACTTCAGCCGCTAGCAGAAACGGAACACTTGAGACAGTCTTGCGGGCTCTGGATCCTGGGCACGACAGACCGAAGGACGGAAGTGGTGCAGAGATTGTGGATGAAAACAAGGATAGCAAAATGTGCACAGTCATCTCTGGGCTGCTCAGCACGGTGCTGCATTCCCAGAATAAACCAGATCCTCGTGAGTGAGCAAGGGGAGAAAGTGACCAGTCTGGAGAAAGGGACCCGCAAACGTGAGCTGTAAAAGAAGCAACTTCTCACTCACTGTATAATAACTTGGGGATTAGGTCTAATCATGCCCACAGTATGACAAAACAGGTATGAGGTGCCTTGGTCTTACTATGACTTTCGTCCTCAAACCACCATTTATTAAATACTTGCAACATACCAAACAGACCAAGAAAACCAAACGGGAAAAGAAAAGAAAGAGGCAGAGAGTGTAAGAGACAGGAAACAGCAAAGAATCCAAAGTGAGAACTACAAAAGGAAAAAGGAAGACATCGAGACATCGAAATCATTAAACAGAAGCAGGATGCTATGAAAAACCCACCTATGAAAGGGAATTTCGCTTTCAGTTCTTGGACAAGATAGCATAGAAGGACGTTTGTGTGTGTGTGTGTGTGTGTGTGTGTGTGTGTGTGTGTGTGTGTGCATGCAGTGTTGAGGACTGAACCTAGGGCTTTTGGCAGGCTAAGCAAGCACACATCATTCAGCAATAGCCCTTATACACAAGTCCCTCCAGCACCACAGAAACAAGCAAGCACACAGTCAACAAGCATTATTTTTAGCCATATTATATATATTTTTGTATTTTTATTAATTTTAATGACAAAGAAATAGCAATGAGACAGTTTCAAATAGGTTAGTAGGACAATTACAATAATTAATGCATTGCATATTCTTTTTTTAAAAAAATTTATTTATTTATTTATGTGTGTGTGGCCAGCTCAGCCCACCAGGGGGCGGGGCTGGCTGGCATGTGGTGCTGGGGGATTGAACCGCGGTCCCTGTGCTTTGCTAAGCTTGTTCTAAATAGGTGCTTTAGACCACTGAGCCATCTCACCAGCCCTGCATTGCATATTCTTGTCTTCATAGTAGTTATTCAGAGTACAAGATGCAGACACGATATCTTGTCTAAACACTATTACTACAAACCTTTCTTCTCATTGAACTAAGAGAAAGTAGTTGTATATCTATCCTATTTTGTATATACATGCATATATATTTTTTTTTCACTAAAAAATGGTC